TGATGTTGGTAATATTATGCATATTTATTGGAGAGAAACATAAGTGTCGAAAAAATGCAAAGACTCCATTAGATTCTAGCAAGGTAGGTGGTCCAGAAACAAACTCAAAGATAACTATGCCATATTCACAAACAGCACGACAGAAACATTCTATAATAGTAATTAATAAATCTTTCGAAACTGGGAAGAATTTTCTGGCAAGTTAAATCAAGGAAGTGTTTCCTACCGTAAGCCACTTTAAACCAGTACAAATTCTCACATCCTTTTACTTTAAGATCCGCTGTAATATCATCCTTTCATTTACTCTTAAATATCTGACATAATTTCTTCCTGATATGATTTCTGGTTAAAATTTCATACTCGTTCTTTGTCCCTGCCATGAGTCAGTTCCACCTTCAGTCGAGAGATTTGCTTTCGGAGCAGATGGTTAGTTGAATGTTGTAGAAACCAGAAATTATAAATTTATTCGAAGGATCTTTCTGAAGTAGTCTTCACGCAGAAATTCAAAATAGGACTTTAATTACTTTGGCTGTGCAACCGACAGAAACAAAGTGTAAATGGAACTTCAAAAAGGAACTAATTTCTCTTAAATTGGTCTTCACGTTTTGTCTTTATCTTTCATAAGCCTGGACGTTTTAATATCAATATTTACTATAGCCTATAATTATAATTAACTACAGATTTCTTTGTAATTAATTTCATAAATTACATTTTATATATGCATATGATTTTTTATATAAAGCTTCATAATTCAGGAGTGTTAATCTTGTGTAGTCGAAGCTCGTCAAAATAATATTTACGAATGCAGACCGTACCGAAAAGAAAACACAGCACTTCACCATTATAAAGATCAACTGGTTAATGCTGTTTAAGAAAATAGCTCTTTAAACTGAGAATCATCCATTTGCAGTCTCATATTTAACAGAAAACCCAGGGTTTAAGTAAAACATTAAAGAGGTAAAATGAGAGCAACTGAATTTCTTTAAACAAAGTTAGGAATGGAATATAAATTTTTGTTTTGAAAGGTATCCCAGATGCTACTTTCAATTTCATTTCCCCCCCCCCCCTCCTTTTTATTCAATGGCTGTGGCGTGAAATATGTATGACAAACGACAAGTCTCGTATGTCTTGTTTCCGTGGTTTCGTTTGTTTCAGCGAGAAACTTTCTCTTTTCACCCTGCTTTCTAGCAGTATTTTTACACCCTTCGCGTCGTGTCCACTCTCTCTCTCCCATCATATTTCCTTTATTTATTACCGTATTTTTTCCTTCGATACGTAATTGATTACATTTCGATTTTCTGGAAAAGTAGAATTATAGGAATTTTTAACCTGTGTGCTGAGACGTACAAGTAGCTTAACCGCAGTCAATATTACAGAAATAATAAGTCCTGTAATTAGCACCGAATATTTTTCTGTAATTAATTTTAGAAATTTTATTTTCATCTACGTCTGTATCATTCAGCCATACTAAGGACTACATATATATATATATATATATATATACATATTGTCAGTACTGACGCTAGAAGACAATGTTTAATTTAATAGGTTCTGATATCATTAGGCAACTTTTAGAATTATGTTTAATATGGTGACAAAACCACTGAAATAATGTTACTGATAATGCTTTTATTGCACCTTTAAGTTGAAATAAGTGAGGAAGGAAGGAATATGAGAGAAATAGAGAAAGGAGGTTAAGAGACGAAAATGATAAAGCAATGGTAGGATGGGTTAAGGGATGTAAATGCGAAGTAAAATCATTTCTAGTTGAACGTCAACGGGCCTCTTTCGCTGGTAATCGTAATACATGTTGTCGTGGCTTTAGTGTGAATCGAGCCATGAAGGAATCTAGGCACAGTGAAAACTGAGGGGTGAGTAGCGACTTTAATATCAGAGCATCTATCATTCATCCGGGGGTTGAAGTGGCCCTTCACAGCGAGGCAGAGGAAACCTCGTTCGTTGTTAAAAACACTACAGGGGTAAGTTCGCTGATCCCTTAGTTCAAGACCATCTACTTCACTTGTGTTTGGTTGGTAGGCGTTTGAAATGCCTCTTTTTTTTACAGCGAAATACGGGAGTTTTAAAATCCCATTGGAATACCGGGAACTCTCAAGTGGATTATAGACAAGCTAAGCTAAGCCAAGCGGGAAATGCAAGTTTTAAAAATTAATTCGTAGTTATAAAACGTAAATGCAACCCAGAGATGGATGATTTTAAGGCATGTACAATAATTATATATTCTCCTGAAACACTAATGGAAAATTCCCGTTGAAATTCAAGGGTCAGTTATTTCTTTCTTATTCCTATTATGTACTCCCATTATTCCTTCTCTTTATGATGTAACTGTTCTGAAATGTATAAATTGACGTATCAGAAGTTTGTGAGACTTAATTTGTTACAGTTTACTTTAATGAAATACCATAAAAAATTATGTTAAATTAGTTTTAATGACGATAGAGTTAATGTAATGTCCTTATGTGTTCGTTATCTGTGTAAACCATACGTTTTGCCTACAAAAAATGAGCATTAAATCTAATTAAGAACTCCAAATATAACAATTTGTTTATTTTAAACTTATGGCAACGTTTAATTCTTTGTCATTTTTACACATAATTTAGTTTCATAGTTTCACTGGACGTACTTGTGCCATTTTTCCACTCTCCAGCTGACTGTAGGCCTTTCCATTTTTACGTCATGTAGATTCGATTTACAAGAAGGATGTCCTTATTATAAATATATTAATTTAATGAATTGGGTGTTATATCACGTGGTATGGCAGATATTACCCGGCTTTTCAGTGGGTCATTTCCGAAACGTCAAACTACACGGCGCGACGTCTTAGAATTTTCATTTCAGCCATTTTCTATGTCTAATACTTTTTTTATCTCAACGTTCTGTTTTGGAAAGCATTTTAAGTTCGCTTAGAAAAGATTCCCTGTGATCATATTTTTTAGTTCTGGGGGTTACAGAGCTTTGTTTATGCACCAATGGCGTCACTGATTGATCTAACGCACTTGGTGGCTTCTTCTCATTACACTTTTAATCTCACTTAATTACCGTCGCGTTACTCATTTCTTTGAGGAATGCCTTAACTTTAATTTCGTTTACCTTCAATCCTGATTGAAGAGGGCGTTCTTTTGAACAGGGCATTGTTTCTGAAAATGAGCTCCTCAACTGTTTTCATGTGCCCATAGAGGCTTCATCACTTTTAACATCGCTCTATATAAAATGGATAGAAATCTTTGTTATTAGTTTGCCATACTATTCCCCTTATAAGAATAGATAATTATGCTCCTGAACTTCGGTAAACTTTCTCATTTTTAGGGAAATGTATAAAGGCCAGAAGGTCTAATAACTTTAGCTATAGTCCTTATAATAAAATGCCTTTAAACTTTTATTCCACAACTGTGATTTAATTATAGCTGCAATGGATGGTTTCTTAAATTTTTAACGGTACATTAAGATAATATAAAATGGAACTTTCATCCGATTTAATTTCAAAATAACCTGCTTGTACCACACAGTCTTCGTATATGATAAAAAATTGACGTGTTTTTTGAAGTGCAAAATGGCATAAAACTGTACTCTGTGGCAATCTTCCCGATTCGGTTACTAGATGGCGATAGTGAATTTTGTACTCTTTAATGTCTGTATACGGCTGGGATATACAGCTCCCGGTCCGCGAGCCGAAGCCAACCCGCGTGAAGTTGTACAGTTTTTTAAACACACGACTGTACTCTACTTAGTTGTAAAATATCAAGTTTTTTTTTACGTTTTTAACACTGGAACATCTGTATCTAAAGTCAATCATTGCACTAGCCTCTATTTCTAATTTCGGGGCTTTTGTTTTCAATTACTGGTAATACATTATGATGCCAGTGGCATTTAAAAAGTGTACGTTTCTTGGACTCTCAGTAATTGTGTTGTGAATATACCGAGACAAATTTACCTTTCAAATAATTTGTTGTCCAGAATAAAATTCTGTGAAACTTTCTTCTTCCAGAATAGCATCCAGTTACGTTTGTTATAATACCGGGTGTCCGTAAATTAGCGGACTATTTGAAGGGGGTTAACTATTTATTTCTAACACATACGAAAAACTTGCTCACTAAAAACAGTCGCACATAATTCAGATTTTTTCGCATGTGGTCATCGAAGTTCATAAATACGTTTTTCTTTTCACTTGTTGTAAATAAATAATCTTCTTGTCGTCTTCTAATTTATGGACACCCTAAGTACTTTAGAAATAGATAAATAAACATGCACATAAGTATATGGATATGTTAATAAATAAATATGTTTATAGGTAGAACGAAAAGTCATAAGCTCTATTGGATATTTAATATCAACTTCATAGTTTTACGCAGACCACTCTGTATATTCATGTTCTATAAGTTGCATAGAATATGAAGGTATCCTAAGTCATCCTAGTAAATCATTATGTGACACAAGTGTTGTAGCTAATGGATTAGTGCACTTGGTGTTTATTCGGAAGCTACCGGGTTCGAATACCCGTATATTGTTGTAGAAAGTAAGCATTTTTTGACAAAACTGTTAGTTTTAAATATGTTATAACTTCCTGCTGTAAAAAGTACAGATTTGCTGAGAGGTTTATTTCAAACGTAATACAGAGTCTAGATTTTTGTTTCGAATATTTATTGTTCATACAGAACATTTATTTGTCAAAAAGTGTGGTACGTATAATTTAATACTAATGAAAATAGAACTTTTATTGCCCATCTATAGAATTCAATATCACTTCAGTTTGAGAATCACTTTTTAATAAATGTTTCATCTTTGTGAATAAAGGCATCGACAACAATGAACAAAACAGTTCTGAGCTTTTTTGCGCATTTTCCGTGAGACAACCTTTTACAGACATAAATAATGACAGCTTGGGTTACAACAATGTGACAATCTTAGTAAGGTAATTCAACACATAACCTAAAATTATAGCCATTGTATACAATTATGTGATTTATAAAGTGGAAGAAACTTACCCGCTAGAAAAACAAAGCAGCTTAACCACGTGACATGACGATCCATATTCCAGTTAATTCTCTTCTTGTTATGTGTAGTAGTTGTCTGTTTTGTTCTGTTTGTGTTTATCAATGTCATTGTTTTATTGCAAAATTAGTAGATACTAATTTTAGGCTTAGTACAGCTTTATACAGATGTTTTGAAATGTTTGTCCAATATTTATAGATCAAGATAATTATGTTATAACGATGGCGTTTCTGCAGGGGTACAACAAGGACGAATGTCAGGTAAGACGACGCTTAGACCGCAAGATCGCGTATGATGACGGCTTAAAAGGGGCAGTCCCCTCACTGCAGTAACCGACCTACTCGCGACTGACCCTCGGAGACACTGTGCAGGACTTTCGTTGCTGGCTACTGTCGGCATGGTCCCCCTACCCTACCCACTGTTCGTAGTATATAGTACGTCGGGCCTGCGCGTCGCGGCACGTATAGACGCTTAACGTCTCGACGCTGATAGAGAGTCACATCCCTGCAGTGTCTAGGGACGGGGCGGGGTGGTGAATGGGTTGAACCTCTTAAAAGCTCCTCGTGGCCCTTCGTGCACCACCGTAGCAAAGAATTACTTAACTGTTTAATAATTAAAAGTACACCGATGCATCCTGGGTAATAGGACAGTAGAACTAACCCAGTAATCACTGAACACAACTTACGTTAATCCGTATCACAGAACGGTACCTACAGGGCACCTCATAAGTCGCTTCACAAAAAAAAGTTTTAGACGTTATTTTCAGTTTCATTTTAGTGCTTTTAAACCGTGGTAACCACAAAAAATTATTTTGTTTGGGAGTATTAGTTCATTATATTTATTTTTATTCATTTAAATTAATTATTTCGTTGACGTCATGGGTGGGTACGGTCTAGGTAAAGCGGCTTATGAGATATTTCTACTTTTATAGAGCCCATCACTGTACATATTTTTCTCTGACGGTAAGCTAGTAAGCCGTATCTTGTTTACCTTTTTATATCTGTGTCATTATTTCTACATCCTGTTATAAAATGGATTTCAGTGAGGATAGCGTTCAGCTCGCTTATTTAGCTTCAGAGAGTTATTATATTAAATAACATGTTTAATTAAAAAGATAATTAAAAATCTAATCAAAATCGTGTTTGTTTCGAAACTGGCATAGTTTCTGTTTACACGAGTAAAAATCGAAAAATAGTCATCACTTGCCCCACCAATCTATGTAAACTGATAGCAGAATTTCAGTTATGACATAAATAAACTTTCGAAGCTCAGGACAGTCGTTTTAAACTAGGGACAACATTTACAGACATTCCTGTTGCAATATTATATAACGGTAATGAACTACGTAGCAGAATCCTTAGGGATAAGCTAATATTCCCTCAGTTGGTCAAGAAATTCCCCGCCTCTAATGTAACTGGAAGATATTTCTGTCCTGAGCCAGATGAATTTTTTCCACGCCTTGAAAAACTTTTCTGGAAGGTCCATTTTAGTAATATCCATTTGTGTTTACTTATTTCAGTTGGTATTTTTCCTTTAGATTTTTCTACTAAAATTGTGTGCCATCTTTTCATACCTCTATGCATTTTACATACCACGTTCTTTTTTATCCTAAATTTTATTATTCTAATAATATTTGGCGAAGGGCACAAAACTCGAGGAAATCATAACTTATAGTTTTGCGTCCCAATATTATTTCTTCTATCTCAGAATTAAATATTTTCTTCGGCATTCTGTTCTCAGACTATACTCGAAACTTTATATAAAACGTAAAATGCTCACTTCAGAAATGGGAGTCGTCGAATGCAGATGATACAGAACTGCTACCAAATAAGCATACGATTAAGCAGAGAGAGAGAGAAAGAGGAAATTGGTGGGGGAGAAGTGAGAGACACTTCGATATCTGGGGGGGAGAAAGAGCATCATATAGCTAGAAGGTCCCCAGGCAATGCCCGCTCGTCCTTCTGTTAAGGATAAAGTAAGAGTGAAGGCGTTAGTGTGATGATTGGCATAAAAGGCGGAATTTTGAACTTTGTATTAGCAAAAGCTGAGGCTATTAATTTGGAAGTTTAATATATAATTTAGAAGTTCCTACTGAGGGGAGGGGGGTAAATTTTGACGGCGTTAAGGGGTGGTAAATTTTGATTAATTTAAATCGGGAGGGCTGCATGAGAAGCTTGCAGTGGCAACTTGGAACTTGGGAACCATCTCAGCATTTGCTTGAAGACAGAGGAAAACCAAGGAAAACCTGTGTCGAGATGGCTCCGCTGGAGCGTCCTCCGATGAACGGCTGGCTAAAATGAGTAGGGTTTTGCCCAAAATGGACTTTACTTTATTTGAATATGTGTAATTTGTAGAGTATGTGTAGGGCCCGCGGTCGCTGGTATTTATCGTAAATGGGGTCATATTGACCTAATTGCCTAATTATACGATTAAGCCAAATATCAGAGGATATTTAAGAATTTAACCCGTACCGCAAAGAAAACACCGCACTTCACCATTACAAAGATCAGATGGTTAACGCTGTTTAAGGAAATAATCGATGTTTGTTCTGAGAATCATATGAAACCTGTGGAAACAGTCTGCAGGCAACAAGCTGAATTATTCAGTATTAAAGGAGATGGTACGTATAATAATTACTGTATTTTAAACTGTTAATTGATGTAGGGGATACGCTAATGTAAACCTCAAAGTTTGAGACCATCTGTCAGTGCGTATAAACACAAGGCCATCGTATTAATAAACACAGCAAGCAATCCAGAACCTGATCTTAATTTTTTTTTGAACAGCATTCATTGTCTATCCGAGTTTAAATTCTGAATGAATATAAATAGCACAGAATCAGCAGCCAGAAGCCAAGGGCTCGTTGAAGTGTATTTTCTTTGACAAAAACGCAGTAAATTTGTTGCCTCGAATACGTAGGCCTACTGCGCAAGTCTCTTTCTGCTTGTCTTTTCAATACAGCTCACTGAACGCCCACACCAGCTGACACGCATTCATAAACCCCGGATTATTATTCCATGAAATCCTCGTTCGCCTTGCTTTAGGCATAAAAATGTTATTTCCACGATTCCCCGCTGGAATATTCAATTTAAATGAAAATATACTCGTTACGGGAAAGATGGAAAATGCATTTCTTTGTAAGTACAGGATTATTAATGTCGGATCGTAGTGAATGTTAATAATTCCTGTAAGCTACTAACCCTCTTACGCAAGAAGACCGTCTAAATTACCATCCTGACCCCTGAAGATGGAAGCGGTACGCTCCTTTAAAACGTTGGTATCTGTCTTCAAATCGACTACAACTCTGAAGAACATCGTTCACATCTTTAGGTCCGTGAGAAAACCACAAATCTCATACAGCTCATTCGTTACTTTATAAAATAATATTTTACCATGTTCTGAGCATAATTTAGCTCGCTATTGGCCTAGTTTGTTGGTAGACTTTTAATTTGTTACTTCGTATTATAGCGCATGTCCTTCGGCAATTTATATAATTGAGTTTCATAATTAAATATTGAACGTGGGCTGTAGCGGTTTCCTGAATATTTTTCATAATCAAGCCATGTCGCCATGACAACAGGCACAGGAGTCCATGCAGCGAGGGCCATCATTTCAGCGTCTCTTAAATCAGTACGACTGCAAATATACAACGATAAAATTTATTATTTTTTTGATTTAAGTTAACGGGAAGAGTATATTAATAGAATATATCTTACGATCTTTACAAAAATGGGTTCAAAGTATCGTATACCTTACCAATAATGTTCTGGTCCGGAGCAGAATTACGTTATATGATTCAAGTGTACATAATCTGCAGATAGTTAGAATCTACGCTTTGTCCACACGGTTCATTTGTGGTTCTTGTATGATTCTCAGAATAAACATCGATTATTTTCTTAAACAGCGTTAACCAGTTGATCTTTGTAATGGTGAAGTGTGTTGTTTTCTTTGCGGTACGGACTGAATTATTAAATATTATTCAGACGAACTATGATTCTCAGAATAAACAGCGATTAATTCCTTAAACAGCGTTAACCAGTTGATCTTTGTAATGGTGAAGTGTGTTGTTTTCTTTGCGGTACGGACTGAATTATTAAATATTATTCAGACGAACTATGATTCTCAGAATAAACAGCGATTAATTCCTTAAACAGCGTTAACCAGTTGATCTTTGTAATGGTGAAGTGTGTTGTTTTCTTTGCGGTACGGACTGAATTATTAAATATTATTCAGACGAACTATGATTCTCACTATAAACAGCGTTTTTTTTCTTACACGGCATTGACGTTTTGACCGTTGTCATGGAAACGTTGGTATTTTTTAGATAAAAACTGAATTTCTATACACTAATTATTTAGATGACCTTGGACAACAAGGGTTGATAAGTTGATCTGCATTTTGTTAGACATTGGACAAGGGATAGATAAATCATAAGACGGAATTTCATTACGTATAAATAATAGTAACACTGTCGCTTTATCTCTCACTACTGTCCACAAGTTGGATTGTTGTTTGTCGTTCGTCCTTTGTTCTGTTGATGTTACCTGTCTCATTGTATCCCTGGTAATGGCTGTCGGCAAGATAAAGTACTCCCCTCCCACTGTTACCCTCATTTCGCCGTCGCTTCGTATAACACGTGCCGCGTCGACAGGAGACACTCGGCTAGTGGACGTGGGTGTCCATTTATCCGCGAAAACACAACAATCCAGTAAATACATCTTCGATAATATCGTATATATTGTATATTTGTAACACAATTGTATGGGCGCCGTGTAAAATGAATATTTAGACAACCTTTTCATGGCGATGAGGGATACCATTAGAGTTATCCATATGAAATATCATGTGCCAGTTAACCCTCTGAAACCAAAGCTCATTTAAATTTCTTTTAATAACTCAGTCCGTACCGCGAAGTAAACACAACTCTTCACCATTACAAAGATCAACTGGTTAACGCTGTTTAAGGAAATAATCGCTGTTTAGAGCCGGAATCATAGTTCGTCTGAATAATATACAAAAACTTAGTCCGTACCGAAAAGAAAACACCACACTTCACCATTACAAATGTCAACTGGTTAACGCTGTTTAAGAAAATAATCGATGTTAACAGTGAGATTCATAACAAATACATAAATACGAAAGGAAGAGTTGTTGGCTGTTAAATCAGATGGTATATATGTTTACCACTGGGATTTAAAGAGTTGATAATTTTACGTATTTTTTTCACATGAAACATTTTTAACAACTCTATTAAGAATGCAAACATGTTAATGGCAAGATATTCTGAAATTTTATCGGACAGAACTAGAGCCGATGACTTTAATCGTTTAATTTAATCCGGGCGAGTACGAACCTTTTGGATAAG